AAAAAAAAAAAAAGAGTTGTTTTTTCTTACTCAGATGGGTTCTGTTGAAGACAATGTGAAACCAGGAGAATTGGTTAGTGGGGCACACAATTTACTTGAAGATATGAAGTTATTGAAAGAAATGCAGGATCACAATGGTGACTTCAGTTTTACCTTCTCTGTCTTTCTTTTACTATCTTCTTTTGTTGGATTAAAATAATTTGTGTTTCCTTTTTGGTTATTAATAGTAATATTTTTTTTTTTTTAATTAACTGTGGGGATTGAATATATAATAGGAGCAAAGAAATCAATAAATTCTGAGTTATGGCATGCCTGTGCTGGCCCATTGGTCTCCTTGCCTCAGATTGGAAGCCTGGTGTATTATTTCCCACAAGGGCACAGTGAACAGGTTCGTCTTTCTTTATTTAGTCGATTTCTCGTAGGAATAATTATGGATCGTGGCGAAATTATTTTTTCTTGATTATTTTCAAGGTAAAGAAAATTCGGACAGAATGGAAATGGAGAAAAAAAAGAAAGAAAAAGAAGAAGTGAATGTACTCATCATTGAATTCATTCCATTAAGTGCAATTTTAGCTGCTTGTGTGTACCTAGCATTATGCAATATGTACACTAGCTCCGTTGTGTAGTGCGCTTTTCGACTAAAAGGGGTTGTGACATTAGATTGATTGAAATGTACATATATTGTTTCTTTTTTAAAAAATTTGCCGAGTCATAACACAATTGATTATAGAGCCTTGTGGAATTTGGGTCTTATGTGTTTGCTAGGGACATAGTTTAGCTTAGCACTTGCTCATGAATGCTTTTTGGTCTGAGGGAATTTTTAGCGCACTCCTGAGAAAGGCAGTTAAAATCTGATCCGAAGTGGCTAAGTGGAAAATGATCTTAGATGTTAGATTTGCAGCAACTTAATTTTTTGTTAGCTTATCTTAGATGTTCAAGAAAATCGAAAGATGTAATTATACATATCACCAATTATTTGAAGTGCTTCTCGATTTAAATCTTCAACAGGTTGCAATATCTACTAATAGAGCAGCAACAGTGCAAACACCCAACTACCCGAACCTTTCGTCTCAATTGCTGTGCCAAGTCCACAATGTTACACTCCACGTACTTCTTCCCCATATATTATTTTAAGAGAGAGAAACTAGATTAAATTATTCTTTTAGAAGCTGGTTTTCGCTGACATGAGCAAATCGTGTTATGTTGTGATTATGTACATTTAGTTATGTGGTTTTTTTTTCTGTTTCTTATAATAGGCCGACAAAGAAACAGATGAAATCTATGCACAGATGAGCCTGCAGCCTGTGAATTCTGTAAGCCTGAATACTGTTCATCATAATAATCCGTAGCGATTCAATAAACATTTCGTAAACCATATGAAATCGGGATGTTATGTTTGACTTGTGTTTCAGGAAAAAGATGCTTTCCCTATACCAGATTTTGGACTAAAGCCCAGTAAACACCCGACTGAGTTTTTCTGCAAAACCTTGACGGCAAGTGATACGAGCACGCATGGTGGCTTCTCAGTTCCAAGGAGGGCTGCTGAGAAACTCTTCCCACAATTAGTAAGCTTTTGGTTTTAGTTCCTTCTTCCGACTGACTATTGGATTATATTCAGAGCCATCCTTGATATTCTCAATATATCATCTCTTTGTTTTGTTTTCTTTCATTTGATCCATTAATTATATGAGCATGCATACCTATTGCAGGATTACTCAATGCAACCTCCAACACAAGAACTTGTAGTTCGAGATTTGCATGATAATACCTGGTCTTTTCGTCATATTTACAGGGGTAAGAATGCTTTTGTAATGCTATTGCTTACTTGTTTTCTTTCAATCTTTTTATTTTTTCCTTCTTTTATTTAACTGTACACCCATTGTTTCGTTTCCAAAGTTTTACTCGATGCACGGCCTATTGAAGTTAATTCTGGACAAATTTGAAAAATGAAATTCACTGAACTCCGACAAAGTACTAAACTCCTGACTTTTTTGTTATTCTCCCTTTCTTTTTAATTTTCGGCTTCTCACTTTCATGTTCTGTTGAAATGCAAATCTTATCTTGCTGCCTGTAAATTTCCTTCTCATTTAGGGCAGCCAAAACGTCACCTTCTGACAACCGGTTGGAGCATGTTTGTTGGTGCAAAACGGCTTAGAGCAGGGGATGCAGTTCTATTTATCCGGTAAATAATCTTTTTGTTTTTTATTTTTTATTTATTTACTGCAAAAGATTCTTTTTAAATGACCAAAAAAAAAAAAATTGAAAGCAACTTATCAGACACTGAGGACTATCTCTACTTCTGCCTAGTGCCTACAAACTAGTTTCAGATGCACCATTCTTGAATTGAAATGCTTTATACTTACAGAAATAGTACATTGACTTGAAACATTTTTCATAATGTGTTCGATTATAGAGACGAGAAATCACAATTGTTGTTGGGAGTTAGACGTGCTAACCGCCAGCAAACCACTTTGCCGTCTTCGGTTTTGTCTGCCGACAGCATGCACATTGGTATACTTGCTGCAGCTGCTCATGCTGCCGCTAATAGAAGCCCCTTTACTGTTTTCTACAATCCGAGGTACCTAATCTCCATTTTCTTTAATTAAAGAAAGCAGTGAACAAAAGAACTTGATTTTGCTCGTAATTTTGATGTTGTTGTAGGGCTTGTCCCTCAGAGTTTGTCATCCCATTCGCGAAATATAGAAAATCCGTGCACGGCACACAAATATCTATTGGCATGAGGTTCGGCATGATGTTTGAAACCGAAGAATCCAGTAAACGGCGGTAAAACAAACTTTAAATATAAATGTTGTTAATTGATATTTTTTACATTGGCCTTTTGGAATTAGATATCCCTTGCTCCTTAAGTTATTCAGCTTCGTTTTAATTCTTTGTACAGATATATGGGGACGATTATAGGATTAAACGACCTTGATCCACTGAGATGGCCCAACTCCAAATGGCGTACTCTTCAGGTGAATATATTAAAAGCAAGATATGGTGATTCTGCATAATTATACATGTTAACGGGGTCATATGCTGATTGTATACTTGTCTATAATGACAGGTCGAGTGGGACGATCCCGGGTGTGGTGATATGCCGAATAGAGTTAGCCCATGGGAAATCGAGACTCCCGAGAGTCTCTTCCTATTTTCATCTTTAACCTCATGTCTCAAACGTCCGTTCCACTCAGCTTTCATAGGTATTGTGTACAACATCTGAAACTTATTACATGTGGTTTTCATCAAGTACTATTTGGCTTCTTTTGTAATAAATCATTCTTATTTAAAAGCAGAAATTATAGCAAAATCTTCCTCATTTTATCTTTATTTGTTGAATTTCTTATATCAGGGCAACAAACAGATTGGGAAACTATGGTAAACCGGCCTTTCTTCCGTGTTCCGGACAATTTGCCCCCTGAATTTCAATGCCCCTCGGTTTCAAGCCTTTGGTCCGAGCAGTTACTGAGCATGATTTCAAAACCTCACACCTTAAACTCTCCTCTGCAAGAACCAAAGTCCCTTATGCAACAGCCGACCAAAGACAAACTTGAAATGAACAGAAATGATGTGTCCCCACAGGACATTATCCCAAAAAACACAAATGTATCGCCACCTGGGAAACAGACTTCACCGGAAAATTTAGTGTCCGCAAACCAAATTAACACCACACAGCAGCCTTTGCAAACGAGTCCTCCGCGCATCACACAATCGCAATTCGACCCTTGTAATCTGCAAGCTCAACAAATTGAGAACACCACTACCAGTAGTAACTTACTTCAGTATCCGGGCCAGGTTGAGTTCAGTTCTTTCCTAACACCCGCTGCCAACCAAGATTTATTCGACCCACAAATCAACAACACTTCTTGTGGCTTGAAAGGCTTACCGAACGATCACAATAACACGGGCGACATTTACAGCTGTCTCAATCTTGATGGTACGAACAGTGGAAGCACAGTGGTCGATCCATCTGTCTCTAACGCGATCTTGGACGATTTTTGCACGTTAAAGAATGTTGATTTCTCGAGTCCCTCGGATTTTCTAGTCGGCAACCTGTGCGCGGCTCAGGATGTCCAGTCACAGATCACGACGGCCAGCCTGGCGGACCCGCCGCAGGCTTTCGCTATGCGGGAGTATGGAGACAACATGGGAGGGACTTGTTCGAGCAATGTTGATATTGACGAAGCTAATAATAATCTCTTGCAGCCGGGCCCGTTTCAGCAGGTGGCCCCGCGGTTTCGTACTTATACTAAGGTAGATATACAAAAATCTCAGGATTATTTGACTAAATTTACATAACTGGAACTTTTCAAATTTCAGGCTACATATCAGGGGTAATTTTTGCTAGCGCGTTTTTTGTGCAGTCTTAATATTATTAATATATGGTGGTGAAATATACTTGTGGACAGATTCAAAAGGCCGGATCAGTAGGGAGGTCCATTGATGTCTCGAGTTTTCGAAATTACGACGAGTTGCGTTCGGAGATTGAACGTATGTTTGGCCTTAAAGGGCTTCTCAATGACTCGAACTCGGGATGGAAGCTGGTCTACGTGGATTTTGAGAGTGATGTTCTTCTTGTTGGGGATGATCCTTGGGAGTAAGTCTTATTATCAGATACAGTTAATAATAAACAAATTGAAAGTAGAATAAGTAAATTAACTTTTGTTCAAATTTGCAAAACCCTTGACCATGTCTAATGCACCTCTTGAGAGTTGCATGTGCTAAACAAACACTTCATTGACGAGTTATTACATGACTTTAACCCCAGTAAAAAACATTTTTTTTGTCTCGAGTAAATCTAATTTCTTTTTTAAAATTTTCAGGGAATTTGTTGGTTGTGTAAGGTGCATTAGGATTTTATCTCCGTCCGAAGTTAAGCAGATGGGGGAAGAGGGAATGCAGCTTTTAAACTCGGCAGCCATGCAAGGCGTTAATAGCTCAGCCTTAGTGGCCGGTTGTAAGGGGAAAGATGGCTCTTAACCTATGTACTAAGATAGTTCGACTCTTCAGACTGAGTGATCATGAATTTTATGTTATATTTGTTCAAGAATCAAGCCTAGAATAGTATAGTGATTTCCTATAATTCCACTAAAGCTATATATATACTGAAGGGGAAAAAGACAGAGCGATAGAGAGAAGGCAAAACCTTGGGCAGGAGTCATCCAAATGTGGAGGTTTTAGAGTGTAATTTATAAAGGTGGGATTTGTTGTAATGTATTAAGAGAATTCTTGATATGAAAAGCTCGAAATTTTAGCAAGTAATTGTTGTGGTATCATCCCAAGATCAAAAGCATAATTTGAGAGAAAAACAAGTTTTTATTACTCACAAGAATAAAAACAAGAGATTTACAAACTCTAAACAAAAAATTCTCAAACACTCCACAACTCTTTTTTGGTTGTGTTTCAACACTCTCAAGGTTGATTGTCACACTCTTGGATGATTTGAATGAATGAAATGAGTGGCCTATTTATAGATATGAATTAGCACACCACCATTGACAAAATGGTGTGAATGAAGAAGGTTTGGTGGAGGTGGTGGCTAGCCATCTTCTTCTTTGGTGTGCCATTCAAAGTCTTCATGTGTGTGCAGAAGCTTATTGCATGGAACTTTCAATTCTCCCCTTTCCATGCAAGTTCCGGACAAGCATTCCTACTATGTCTCTGCATAGCTTAAGCTTATCCAGTGTAACCACTTTTGTTAACATATCTGATGGATTCTCCTTCGTATTGATCTTCACTAGTTTCAACAGCTGTTGATCGATCTTCTCGCGTATCCAGTGATACCAAACATCAATATGCTTTGTGCGGGCATGGTACATAGAGTTCTTGCTTAAGTCAATAGCATTTTGACTATCACAAAATACCTTGTACTCTTTCTGTTTAATCCCAAGTTCTTGGAGATAGCGCTTTACCCACAACATTTCTTTACCAGCTTCAGCGGCAGCAATATATTCAGCTTCTGTTGTGGATAAAGCAACACACTTCTGCAATCTTGATTGCCAAGAAATTGCTCCCCCTGCAAAAGTGTAGACATAGCCCGAAGTAAACTTTCGACAATCGATATCTCCGGCCATATCAACATCAGTATATCCTTCCAAGACTGGATCAGCTCCCCCGTAACAAAGACATAACTTAGAAGTACCCTTCAAGTATCTGAGAATCCATTTGACAGCCTCCCAATGCTCCTTCCCGGGGTTAGAAAAAAAAACGACTCACTACACCCACTGCATGAGCAATATCTGGCCTTGTACACACCATTGCATACATCAGACTTCTAACTGCTGAAGAGTATGGCACTGTAGACATCTCCCCCATCTCTTCCTTGGATGTTGGACATGATCTTTTGCTCAACTTGAAATGATTTGCAAGTGGAATACTCACTGGTTTGGCATCACTCATATTGAATCTTTCAAGTACTCGTTCAATGTACTTCTCTTGAGATAGCCATAACTTGCCGTTCTGTTGGTCTCGAGTAATCTGCATCCCAAGAATCTGTTGAGCCTTTCCTAAATCTTTCATATCAAAAGACTTGGAAAGTTCTTTCTTCAGCTGGCTTATCTTCTCTGTATCATTCCCAACGATCAACATGTCGTCGACGTACAGTAGAAGAATTATGAAAGCCCTGTTTGAGTATCTCTTGATGTAAACACACTCATCTGCAGTAGTCTTCTTGTAACCTTGACTCTTCATGCATGAGTAAAACTTCTTATTCCACTGCCTTGGTGCTTGCTTAAGACCATACAAGCTTTTAGATAGCTTGCACACGAGGTTCTCACTTGAAACCTCAAAACCTTCTGGCTGTTGCATATAGATTTCTTCTTCCAAATCTCCGTGAAGAAATATTGTCTTCACATCCATCTGTTCAAGCTCCAAATTCATACTTGCTGCCAAGCCAAGTATGACTCGAATTGAGGTCATCTTGACAACTAGTGCAAAGATCTCGTCAAAATCAATCCCTTTCTTCTGCTGAAAGCCTTTGACAACTAATCGAGTTTTGTGTTTCACCACTTGTCCATTTGTATCTTTCTTCAGCTTGAACACCCATTTGTTTTTCAAAGCCTTCTTCCCTTCTGGAAGTTTAACTATCTCATATTTTTTATTTTTCTGCAGAGAATCTAATTCTTCCTGCATCGCAACCATCCATTTTTCTTTATCCTTATGAGATACGGCTTCTTGAAAATTTTTTGGTTCTCCATCTTCTGTCAATAGAAGGTATTTAGATGATGAGTACCTTTTTGATGGTATATGACCTCGTTCAGATCTATGAGTGGGTAGAACCATCTAAGAAGAACTTCCAACATTGGTGTCTGACAAAATGGGTTGTGGCTCCCCTTGCTCTGGCAAGGTGGGTTGTTGCTCCCCTTGCTCTGCACTCTCTTCTATCTCCTCATCTTCTTCTGGTACATCATCTCCATTGTTTCTCCGGAACAATTCTGGTGCTTCATCTGAAACTTGAGCACCCACATTTGACTTTTGAGACATCTTGGGCTTTTCGATATCTTCTATTGTCAAATTTTCTTGGAACACAACGTCCCTACTTCTTATCACTTTTTTCTCCATCGGATCCCAAAATTTGTCTCCAAACTCTTCATCTCCATAACCAATGAAAATACATGGGATTGACCTCGCATCGAGCTTCTTTCTGAGCTCTTTGGATATATGTGCATATGCTACACAACCAAATACTCTAAGATGTGAGTATGTCGGATCCTTACCAGTCCATATTCTCTCTGGAACTTCAAAATTTAATGGAACTGAAGGTGATCGGTTGATTAGATAACATGCGGTCTTGACAGCTTCTCCCCAAAATGGGTTTGGTAATTTAGCCATGTTCATCATGCTTCGGACACGCTCCATGATAGTCCGATTCATTCTTTCAGCAACACCGTTGTGCTGAGGGGTACGTGGTACTGACTTCTCATGTCGAATATCATATGTCCTGCAATATGCACCGAACTCCTTCGAAGTATACTCGCCTCCATTATCATATCTGAGACATTTCAGCTTCTTTCCTGTTTCACGTTCCACCATGATGTGAAATTCGTTGAAGTACTCAAACACCTGGTCCTTCGTATTCAGGAAATATATCCACACCTTTCGAGAAGCATCATCAATGAAAGTCAGAAAATATCTGCTTCCACCCAGTGATTCAACCTCCATGGGACCGCAAACATCAGAGTGTACCAAGCTTAACAACTCTGATCTCTTTGTTGAACTTGTATTGAGTGAGACTCTATGCTTCTTGCCGAACAGGCAATGACTGCAAGAACCCATCGCCGCACTCTTATCAACCTTGAGACTTTCTGTACTGATCTTCAAATGTGTTTTGTACAGAGTCCCACAAACATGTCCTCGGGCAATTTTCAGAACACCCTTTGACAACTTCCATGTGCCTGCGCCGAAGTGATTTTCATATCCTTCTTTGTCAAGAGCCACCACTGACAAAAGATTCGGTCTAAGATCTGGCACATGTCTGACATCCTTCAACAAGATTGTACTCCCGGTTTCTGTCGTTGCCTGGATATCACCAATTCCGGCAATTTGAGAGGAGCTGTAATTTTCCACCTTCACCGATCCAAAGTCTCCAGCTTGGTATGTTGTGAAGTATTTCCTGTTGGGAGTAATGTGATAGGATGCTGTAGTATCTACCACCCATTCCATGTCTTCTCTTGAGACATGAAGCATGTCTCACCATAGTTAGAGCAATATGCTACATCACCTGAGACAGTGATAAGAGTTTTACCACTCTTGCCCTTGTTCTTCTGCTGAGAACTATTCTTCGGCTGAGAATTGCTCTTGCCCTGCTCGTCGAGCCATTTATAGCAATTCTTCTTCATATGACCTTCTAGACCACAATGATAACACACATGTGATCTCCGATCATCTGATTGCCTCCCCTTGCTTCTACCCCTACTCTTCTCTCTACCGCTTCTTTGTTGCTTGCCTTGTGGTCTTCCTCGATTCTCCATCACAAGGTCATGGGTCTGATCTGTGTCCATGTCTTTCCTTCTTGCCTCTTCATTGAATAAGGCATCCTTGACAACAGACATGGAAAGTTTGCCATTTAAGGCTGAGTTGTTGAGAGTAACAACGAGTGTTTTCCAGCTATCAGGAAGGGAACTAAGAAGTAGCAAAGATTGCATTTCATCTCCAAGTGGCATCTCCACATAAGATAGCTGATTAACCAGGCTCTGGAACTCACTGGTATGCTCGGCAACAGAAGTTCCACTTTTCAACTTCATATTGACTAAGCGCCTCATCAATAAGACCTTATTCTGAGCATTCTTGGCCTGGTACATGTCCTCCAGCTTCCTCCAAAGGACATATACGTCGGTTTCTTGTGCAACATGATGGAAGACACTATGATCAATCCATTGTCGGATTTGACCAATAGTTTTTCTATTGATTTTTTTTCATTCTAATGCCTTGGACGGATCAGGGTTAATACCCTTCAGCTCTATCGGGTCAAAGAGCTCTTTACAGCTGAGGAAATCTTCCATCCGAGGTATCCACAGCGTATAGTTGGTAGCCGTGAGCATAATCATAGCTCCAGAAGATGAAGTTGACTCTTCCATGGCCATTTTACACCTTCAATTTTTTGTTTGGGACAAATCATAGCTGAATTTCGAAAAATAGACAGCACCGTTGCGTCCGGAAAAGTCGAAAATGAGGGGGGGTAGTTTTTTTTTTATGATGGCAGTCAACCGATGACGTGGCGTTGACTTGCTGATGTGGAAGCTGACTGGAGTGCTGACCTGGTGGCTGACTGGGCTGCTGACATGGCAGCTCACTGGGCTGCTGACTGGGCCTTCTTTGCTGATGTGATGATGACATGTCAGATGATGTGGCGACACGTCATCATCTTCAACCTCACGATTTTTTTTTTATTTTTTTTTCAGAACTTGCGGAGGCTTTTCGGGGCAGTTACGGTGTCCGTTTTTCACCCGTAAGATATCACCATGACCGTTTCGACTAGACGA